CTGCGTAGCAGATAGAGCTCGAGCTCTGCCACCGCCGGGTAAAACTAATAGAAAAGAAGTACAGCGCTACGCTTGTACATTCTTTAACACAATCAGAAATCAAATAAATTTTTTTAACTACGTCTGGTATAACTACGCACAGACACATCCTTATCTTGCTCATCTTCTAGACGATGACGATGCGCAGTATCCTCTGGTTTATATCTCTTAGGAAATACTTGACGTCTCGCGTTTAAAAGCATCTGTTCCCATCCATGTTGACTCACTTGATCCCAAAAGTTACGCCTTGGTTGTCGTTGGTGTACAACCGAATTCCGTATCGCTTGAAGATAGTCGTCATGCGCAAGACGGATTTGCCTTCTTGTGTGAACCATTAGTTTGTAGACTCCACGTCAGCAGCAATTGTAACAGTCAAAGGTTGTCTCTGCACTGGATAACGTAGACCGACAGGAAGTTCCTTGAACTCGACAAGGTAGTTCAGCTTCACAACAATCTTGTACTTGAGATCGTCACCAGAACTAGTAGCACTGTTTAGATGAACTGTATCATTCACCGGCTTCACACGAATCAATAGTTTCTCCGGAAGTAGAGGGTTTGTGTTAGTAGCCGTCCAATTTTCAACTGATGAATCCAAACGAATTTCTCTTGTGTGTTGAACAGTACGATATTCTCCAGAAATGACACACTTGGATACACCATTGTTGGCCACCATGTTCGTATTCTCAAAATTGTCCAGCAAGGCAGTCGAGTTGATGTTCTCAGCATTGATGGTGTCATCAGGATGTTCTCCTGCAACTTCAACTTTTCCAGTTGCAGTGATAGCAAGAGCACGTCGATCAAGATAGTGGTACATTGTGTTTGGCCACAGCTGCATATCGTCGTTACTAGCCAGTGTATTTGGCTGGTCATCGTTGTAAAAGAGTCGGTATACCCACAAAGGTTCTGTAGATAAGTTCTCCACAAACACATTGTACTGGCACGATACCACATGATAGTAGTTGTATAGTCCGGAGTAGTAGTTAAACCACCGGGCTGATTGCAACGTTCCATCAACGCTCTCAGGAGTGACATTCGTAACACCAGCACCAGCGTTAATGTCAATAACAGCATTTGCTTGAGAACAATCGTATGGTGAAGTCAGACGAAAGATATGATCTCTCGAATAATAGTCTGCGATATCCGCATATCGCGTTTCAACATACTGCCATGGCGCACCAACAGGAACACAACATCGTCACTGAACTCGTGGAGAGTTTCATCGTGGAAGAAAACAACGCTCTACTAAGCAAGATTCGCAGTGCGGTGAATGAAGCGCAAGCGCTTCGCCTACGTCTAACTCGTCTCAATACGCTATTCAATATGGCTGGGGGTCTCAACACTCGTTTGCAACGTGAACTAGTTGATTTGCGCAGTGCGTGTGAGATGATGGACATCATTGCGAGAGAGTACTCCATCAACAATGCTGAAGCCCGTGCTCGTTGGGCACCGTATTGCTCGTTTGAAGATGAAGAGTTTCAGCGTCTGATAACTGAGGCCAATGCTGGATTCCCGACGGATTTGGCAATCTTGATGGAGCCAACGCAAGAAGACGAAGACGATCGTGACTCGATCATTGACATCTTGGAGTTGACTGAAGAAGAAATGCGCGACTTCATGGATGTTTAAGTACATAATACATGTCTCATTTCGTCAGAATGATTGTTGTTTATCTTAAGAATGATTGTATGAATAGTGTTAAAGAATGTACAAGCGTAGCGCTGTACTTCTTTTCTATTAGTTTTACCCGGCGGTGGCAGAGCTCGAGCTCTATGTCCTTTGGACCATGC